GTGTTGTAATACATGGAGGGTGGTGTGGTGAGTGTAGTGTTGTAATACATGGAGGGTGGTGTAGTGTTGTAATACATGGAGGGTGGTGTAGTGGTGTGTAATACATGGAGGGTGGTGTGAGTGAGTGTAGTGTTGTAATACATGGAGGGTGGTGGTGGTGTAGTGTTGTAATACATGGAGGGTGGTGGTGTGTAGTGTTGTAATACATGGAGGGTGGTGTGTTGTGAGTGTAGTGTTGTAATACATGGAGAGTGTAGTGTTGTAATACATGGAGGGTGAGTGTAGTGTTGTAATACATGGAGGGTGGTGTAGTGTTGTAATACATGGAGGGAGTGTAGTGTTGTAATACATGGAGGGTGGTGTTGTGGAGGGTGGTGGGTGAGTGTAGTGTTGTAATACATGGAGGGTGGTGTAGTGAGTGTAGTGTTGTAATACATGGAGGGTGGTGGTGAGTGTAGTGTTGTAATACATGGAGGGTGGTGTAGTGTAATACATGGAGGGTGGTGTGTGAGTGTGTGGAGGGTGGTGTAGTGTTGTAATACATGGAGGTGTAGGTTGTGGTGAGTGTAGGGTGGTGTTGTAATACATGGAGGGTGGTGTAGTGTTGTAATACATGGAGTGGAGGGTGGTGTAGTGTTGTAATACATGGAGGGTGGTGTGGTGAGTGTAGTGTTGTAATACATGGAGTGGTGAGTGTAGTGTTGTAATACATGGAGGGTGGTGTGGTGAGTGTAGTGTGGAGTGTTGTAATACATGGAGGGTGGTGTGGTGAGTGTAGTGTTGTAATACATGGAGGTGGAGGGTGTGGTGAGTGTAGTGTTGTAATACATGGAGGGTGGTGTAGTGTTGTAATACATGGAGGGTGGTGTGTAATACATGGAGGGTGGTGTGTGAGTGTAGTGTAGTGTTGTAATACATGGAGGGTGTGTAGTGTTGTGGAGGGTGGTGTGGTGAGTGTAGTGTTGTAATACATGGAGGGTGGTGTAGTGTTGTAATACATGGAGGGTGGTGTAGTGAGTGTAGTGTTGTAATACATGGAGGGTGGTGTGGTGAGTGTAGTGTTGTAATACATGGAGGGTGGTGTAGTGTTGTAATACATGGAGGGTGGTGTGGTGTTGTAATACATGGAGGGTGGTGTAGTGAGTGTAGTGTTGTAATGTGGTGTGGTGAGTGTAGTGTTGTAATACATGGAGGGTGGTGTGGTGAGTGTAGTGTTGTAATACATGGAGGGTGGTGTAGTGTTGTAATACATGGAGGGTGGTGTAGTGAGTGTAGTGTTGTAATACATGGAGGGTGGTGTAGGTGAGTGTAGTGTTGTAATACATGGAGGGTGGTGTAGTGTTGTAATACATGGAGGGTGGTGGTGAGTGTAGTGTTGTAATACATGGAGTGTAGTGTTGTAATACATGGAGGGTGGTGTGGTGAGTGTAGTGTTGTAATACATGGAGGGTGGTGTAGTGTTGTAATACATGGAGGGTGGTGTGGTGAGTGTAGTGTTGTAATACATGGAGTGTAGTGTGGTGGTGTAGTGTTGTAATACATGGAGGGTGAGTGTAGTGTTGTAATACATGGAGGGTGGTGGGTGAGTGTAGTGTTGTAATACATGGAGGGTGGTGTGGTGAGTGTAGTGTTGTAATACATGGAGGGTGGTGTAGTGTTGTGGAGGGTGGGTGGTGTAGTGTGTAGTGTTGTAATACATGGAGGGTGGTGTGGTGTTGTAATACATGGAGGGTGGTGTGGTGAGTGTAGTGTTGTAATACATGGAGGGTGGTGTGGTGAGTGTAGTGTTGTAATACATGGAGGGTGGTGTAGTGAGTGTAATACATGGAGGGTGGTGGGTGAGTGTAGTGTTGTAATACATGGAGGGTGGTGTGGTGAGTGTAGTGTTGTAATACATGGAGGGTGGTGTGGAGTGTTGTAATACATGGGTGTGGTGTGTTGTAATACATGGAGGGTGGTGTGTGAGTGTAATACATGGAGGGTGGTGTGGTGAGTGTAGTGTTGTAATACATGGAGGGTGGTGTGGTAAGTGTAGTGTTGTAATACATGGAGGGTGGGTGTAGTGTTGTAATACATGGAGGGTGGTGTAGGGTGGTGTAGTGTTGTAATACACGGAGGGTGGTGTGGTGAGTGTAGTGTTGTAATACATGGAGGGTGGTGTAGTGTTGTAATACATGGAGGGTGGTGTGGTGAGTGTAGTGTTGTAATACATGGAGGGTGGTGTAGTGAGTGTAGTGTTGTAATACATGGAGGGTGGTGTAGTGAGTGTAGTGTTGTAATACATGGAGGGTGGTGAGTGTGTGTTGTAATACATGGAGTGTAGTGTTGTAATACATGGAGGGTGGTGTGGTGAGTGTAGTGTTGTAATACATGGAGGGTGGTGTAGTGTTGTAATACATGGAGGGTGTTGTGTGTAGTGTTGTAATACATGGAGGGTGGTGTGGTGTTGTAATACATAATACATGGAGGGTGGTGTAGTGTTGTAATACATGGAGGGTGGGTGTGAGTGTTGTAATACATGGAGGGTGGTGTGGTGTTGTAATACATGGAGGGTGGTGTGGTGCTGTGTAGGGTGGTGTAGTGTTGTAATACATGGAGGGTGGTGTGGTGAGTGTAGTGTTGTAATACATGGAGGGTGGTGTGGTGGTGTAATACATGGAGGGTGGTGTGGTGGTGGTGTAGTGTTGTAATACATGGAGGGTGGTGTAGTGTTGTAATACATGGAGGGTGGTGTAGTGTTGTAATACATGGAGGTGTTGTGGTGTAGTGTTGTAATACATGGAGGGTGGTGTAGTGTTGTAATACATGGAGGGTGGTGTAGTGTTGTAATACATGGAGGGTGGTGTAGTGTTGTAATACATGGAGGGTGGTGTAGTGTTGTAATACATGGAGGGTGGTGTAGTGTTGTAATACATGGAGGGTGGTGTAGTGTTGTAATACATGGAGGGTGGTGTGGTGGAGGGTGGTGTGGTGAGTGTAGTGTTGTAATACATGGAGGGTGGTGTGGTGAGTGTAGTGTTGTAATACATGGAGGGTGGTGTAGTGTTGTAATACATGGAGGGTGGTGTGGTGTTGTAATACATGGAGGGTGGTGTGGTGTTGTAATACATGGAGGGTGGTGTAGTGAGTGTAGTGTTGTAATACATGGAGGGTGGTGTGGTGAGTGTAGTGTTGTAATACATGGAGGGTGGTGTGGTGTTGTAATACATGGAGGGTGGTGTGGTGAGTGTAGTGTTGTAATACATGGAGGGTGGTGTAGTGAGTGTAGTGTTGTAATACATGGAGGGTGGTGTAGTGTTGTAATACATGGAGGGTGGTGTGGTGAGTGTAGTGTTGTAATACATGGAGGGTGGTGGTGAGTGTAGTGTTGTAATACATGGAGGGTGGTGTAGTGTTGTAATACATGGAGGGTGGTGTAGTGAGTGTAGTGTTGTAATACATGGAGGGTGGTGTGGTGTTGTAATACATGGAGGGTGGTGTAGTGTTGTAATACATGGAGGGTGGTGTGGTGAGTGTAGTGTTGTAATACATGGAGGGTGGTGTGGTGAGTGTAGTGTTGTAATACATGGAGGGTGGTGTAGTGTTGTAATACATGGAGGGTGGTGTAGTGAGTGTAGTGTTGTAATACATGGAGGGTGGTGTAGTGAGTGTAGTGTTGTAATACATGGAGGGTGGTGTAGTGTTGTAATACATGGAGGGTGGTGTGGTGAGTGTGGTGTTGTAATACATGGAGGGTGGTGTAGTGTTGTAATACATGGAGGGTGGTGTGGTGAGTGTGGTGTTGTAATACATGGAGGGTGGTGTGGTGAGTGTAGTGTTGTAATACATGGAGGGTGGTGTGGTGAGTGTGGTGTTGTAATACATGGAGGGTGGTGTAGTGTTGTAATACATGGAGGGTGGTGTGGTGAGTGTGGTGTTGTAATACATGGAGGGTGGTGTGGTGAGTGTAGTGTTGTAATACATGGAGGGTGGTGTGGTGAGTGTAGTGTTGTAATACATGGAGGGTGGTGTAGTGTTGTAATACATGGAGGGTGGTGTAGTGTTGTAATACATGGAGGGTGGTGTGGTGAGTGTAGTGTTGTAATACATGGAGGGTGGTGTAGTGTTGTAATACATGGAGGGTGGTGTAGTGAGTGTAGTGTTGTAATACATGGAGGGTGGTGTAGTGAGTGTAGTGTTGTAATACATGGAGGGTGGTGTAGTGTTGTAATACATGGAGGGTGGTGTGGTGAGTGTGGTGTTGTAATACATGGAGGGTGGTGTGGTGAGTGTAGTGTTGTAATACATGGAGGGTGGTGTGGTGAGTGTAGTGTTGTAATACATGGAGGGTGGTGTAGTGTTGTAATACATGGAGGGTGGTGTAGTGAGTGTAGTGTTGTAATACATGGAGGGTGGTGTGGTGAGTGTAGTGTTGTAATACATGGAGGGTGGTGTAGTGTTGTAATACATGGAGGGTGGTGTAGTGAGTGTAGTGTTGTAATACATGGAGGGTGGTGTGGTGAGTGTAGTGTTGTAATACATGGAGGGTGGTGTAACACTTCCCACATTCTTGCAAGCAGGTTCTGCTCTACAACCAGATTCTTATGAATAAAAGTATTACAAAACACGTTGAACATGTAAAATATTCACATGACAAGCACTTATAAAATGTGCCAAATTCTGTAAATTAGAGACAGCACATACATTACTGCCAAATAAAAATACATGAACTCTAAATGAAAATGAGCCATTTTAGAAAGCACAGTTTAAAGTTAAGCATGATGTTCCAAGGTTCTCTACAACAATAGTATGTGTTTAGTAAGTAATCATAAAAGGAATAATATCCCAAAATACAAGCCAGCCCCAATTATGCAACTCTATTCATGAGAATATGGGGTGAGAATAGCTTGAGCTACCTCATCCCTTTGTGTGTATTTTACCTCAATAAACTTATTTCAATTTCTATTCATGAAAGGTCATCAAATATTTTATTGCACAAAATAACATGGATTTTAACTTACCTGTTGATTACTGTTAGAGTCCATAGGTCTCACTTGCCGATGGAACATGAGATAAAATGGTGTCTGACCACTGGCACTAACATAAGTTGTATTTATTTCATACACCTAAAATAGAATTTAAATAACAAGTGTATCAATTATATTCTTTCTAGCAATGTTATTCATAAAATATTAAATTCAGCAATATTACACAAATTCATTATATGATCAGCAAACCCAATGAAAACCAAGAACTTGCCTTTCTTTGTAGTAGATCATCCCAGATATTGCCAGACTCAAGACAATGCCGAAGGATTGTAGTCTTGATACTCGCTTCATCAGGACGGTTAACCTGTGTTTTGCTTACTGCTACAACATTGCCTACGAGTCCAGTATCAAATTCCAGGCCCAAATTTAACTGAAATAAAGCAAGAGTAATGTAATAAAATAATGTTTACTGGCAGGAACTTAAGTATCATGAACTTAACACTTTAGTGCGCGCGGCACTAGCTGAAAAAAAAAGCGGGTTGTGCGCGCGGCGTTCTGGGCGCTCAAGCGTGAACACAAAAAAGTTTATCATCTTTTCACGCTCTTAACATCAATTCTCGAGCTACGTTTTTCATTTTGGTATCAATGCGTTGGCAATAAAATTCTCTACAAGATCATATGCATAAAATGTCACCCAAGCATTTGCTATCCCACCACGAAGTAAATAAACACGAAGATGACTCGCCGTGACACCCAAACAGGAAGTAAATGTTCATACTCTTTCGTATGTTGCCAGCCTCACAGTCATCCTACAGCGCTTATTTTGATATCACTGAACTCGCAATAAAATTCCCCACCCAGACATATGCCTATCAATGTCTAATTATGTTCCGCACGAGTGTGGGAACTGGGCGAAGCGTTAGCCGTGATTTCAGCAGCGACGACACTGTTGTGATGCAGCGCTTTGAAAGTTTATACTTATTTCACTGTCATGACATTATTTCTCGAGCTATGTATTTCATTTTTATAGCAATGTGTTTGCAATAGAAAGTTCTATAAGAACATGGGTAGAATTGGCCAACAGAGCGTCAAATAAATTTGCAGCGAATAAGCTTACGCGAATCTTACGCGTGTTTGTACCCGTGAGCGTAAAAAGTTTTTACTTTGCTCATGTTTTTTCAAGTTTATACTTGATTCACTCCGTTTTTTTTTTTTTGTATAGTGTTCGGAATAAAATTCTCTACACAGACATATGCATATAAATGTAGAATCATGATCGCGGCCAACACAAGAGTGTGTGGAGTGCGCAATTACCCTCGTTGTGTCACCAATTCAATAGTCTCTCCTCTAAGTTACAATACTTTGCCGTTTTCTCAAATAGGCACAGTGCCTATTAGAGAAAACAAAAATTTAATGGCAAACATATTCATACAAACCCCAAGTCGATCGAGTAGTAAATACCCAATATAACACGGTCCGTAAATTTACGTCGTGATCCGACAAGCGGTTAGGCAAACCGCCCGTAAGTCCAAGTCGAAAATCCAGGAAAGTGTTAAGATCAGTGCTGGTCTAACCATGATTTTGGAAAATGCACCAGGATACTAATACCAACCCATGCCTACTGGGAACTAGGAGCTGGAGTCATCACGCAGTTATGCAGGTACTTATGAACATGTGCATCTTCTCTCAATCTTTGGTGACTTTGTTTAAATTTATTAAACAGTTTCTGAGCTCCAAAGCATTAGGAGGTTGTTTATAATAACAACATTTGATTTGGAAGTTTTGATGCTTGTAAACTGTTTAATAAATGTAAACAATCTTCCAAAGATGCATAAATGCTTGTTGACTCCTGACTCAGGATGAGCATAGAGCATTTTTTTTTTTTACGCAAGAGGAATTTGGGGATCAGTGATTTATTTACTCAAAAATGACGAAAACCCAACTAAAAGAAAGCAACTGTGCTAATCATGCAATGATTAACAATCATTGTTGTGATGTAAATATACCATTTTGTGACCACCTGTGTTACGGACCCGAATCCAGCGTCCGAGTACGGAGCAGTGACGACCGCGCCATCTGTGGGTCAGCTCCCAAAAAACCCTCCAAATGGACGACGACACCTGGTGAGGACGAGGTGTACTGGCCACGAGGGCCAGTTTCCAGTCCTGTTCAGCTCACAACACAGCCGCTGCTGACCTCTGGTGAGGTGGTGCTCAACGCCATCTATGGAGTTGATAGGTGGGCGTTTGGGTCTGAGCCTGTAAGTGAGGTGCTTTTGTGTGTCCCTGTTACTGATGACGTGTCTGATTACAGAGTCGACCTGGGACTGCTGTAATGGAAGTTGAGTCAGTCTACCCAAGGCAGCCGTCTCGTCACCAAGTGTTTGCTGCAGCAACTGTGAGTCGCCCCCCCGGATGAACACTGTGGTGTTACCCTGCCTGTGAAGTGGCAGTTGAAGGATTGTCGTACCCGGGACTGACTGGTGGAGACGCTTAACCACTGGGGTGTTGTGGAAAGGAGAGTGATCTGTGGTATCACACGAGGCTCCTGACTAGGGCGCGACCCTAGTATCGCTCGTGGAGTGGCCTAACCAGCGTCGCTGATTCAGGACCTGCCAGCTATCTGCTGGACTTGTGGTTGATGGCCTCCACGACGGTGCCCCCAGTGGAACTGTTTTGGCTGGCCTGTGGCCGGGATAGACTCATTCTCGAAGGATTCGTCGTGAGGCCACGAGAGCACCAGGAGCTTGGCACCGTGAACGTCCAGGGTCTTCGGAGGAAGACTGCATCGTGTATTATAGTGTTTATATCCCCCCCCCCCGTGTAATCGTTTATATCTTATTTATTGGTGACGGTGATAATTATATTATATTAAGTTTTGACTTTATTTCCCTTCCCCTTTAATTTACTTGCATTACGGATCACATCCCTTGAAAGCCACTACTGGCTTGGGGCCGGATACCCTTCCTCTAACAACATCAGAGTAAGAACCCAGTTGCGACCCGAGAGGGCCGTAACATAATTGGCATCCCCAGCGGGATCCGACTCCTTGTCAAGTATGTTTGACAGGGGTGGTGAAGTGGCGTAATCCCTGTAAATAATTCCCCGTGTGTGTGACGATTGGGACGTTATACGTCCTGTGCGGTGCTCGGAGTGACTAAGTGCAATATTGTGCAGTGCGGTGCTCGCTGTGATTAAGCGATTGAGTGCAATATTGTGTAGTGCGGTGCTCGGTGTGATTCAGTGCAATATTGTAGAGCAAGGTGTTCGCTGTGATTAAGTGCAATATTGCGTAGTGCGGTGCCCGAAGTAATTACGTGCAATATTGGCAAATGAGGCGCCAGGTGCGATAAAGTGCAATATTGACGTAGAACGGTACTCGGTGCGTTAAGTGCTAAAGTGAAGCGGTGTGTTAAGTGCTAAGTGTTCCATCTGTGACAATGGCAGAAAAAGCTACCATCGATGATCTGGACGATGTTCAGGCTTTTCTGAACAGAGAGGACTGTCTTGCCAGATTAAAATATCTGGGCAAACAGGAACTTGTACTAGTGAGCGCCTACCTGGAGATCAAGATCCGTGCCAGTGATTCCCGTGTGGAGATCTTGTCCAAGGTTCACCGGCATTTGAAGGCAGAGGAGAAACAGGAAGGCGAGGCACCTAGTATAAAGGAAGGTGAGGAAATAGCTTCCACTGAAAAGGAAGATAAAGGGAGTGATGTCGAAAGTGATGAGAGTGAACTAAATATAAGTGTGCTTACTGTGAAAATGCGTGAACTAGAGATCCATCGTTAAATAGAATGGAAAAAGCTAGAAATCGCTAAAGAGAGAGAAGAGAAAGCGAGAGAGAGAGAAGATAAGAAATTAGAAATGGAAAAAGAGAGACAAGAAATGGAAAGAGAGAGATTAGGAAAAGAATTAGAGATAAGGCGTTTAGAATTAGAACGAGAAGAAAGAAGAAAAGAGGGAGAAAGAGGAAAGAGCAGAGAAACGAGAGAGAGAAGAACGAGAAAGAGAAAGAGAAGAAAGAGAAAGAGAAGAGCGAGAAAAAGAGCGAGACAGGCAAGAACGACAGGACAGAGAGGAGAGAGAGAGACAACATGAACTAGAAGTATTGCGGTTAGGTGGTCGGAGGCAAACAATGGACACCAGTAGTTTCGATCCGGTAAGGAACATCAAAATGGTCCCAAAATTCAACGAGAAGGAAGTTTCAAAGTTCTTCGCAGCCTTCGAGAAAGTCGCTGCCTCTTTGGAGTGGCCAAGGGAGAATTGGGCCATCATGATACAGTCAGTCTTGACTGGGAAGGCCCAAATCGCCTACTCCACGTTATCCCTTGACGACTCCGGCGATTATGACAAGGTGAAGAAGGTCGTGCTCATGGCGTACCAATTGGTACCTGAGGCTTACAGGCAGAAGTTCAGGAACCTGAAAAAGATCTCAGAGCACACTTTCACCGAATTCGCCACTATCAAGGAGCGACTTTTCCAGGAATGGTGTGCCTCTCGGAAGGGGAGACCAAACAAGACCTCGAGCAGTTCATACTGTTAGAGGACTTCAAGGATTGTTTGTCTGGAGACCTGAAGACATACTTGGAAGAGCAGCAGGTGGAGACCTTGAGCACGGCAGCCACCATGGCTGAGGAATACATCTTAACGCATAGACATTCTGCTAAGTACTGTAACCCCGCGATTATCCGGGATTCGAACATCCGAAAAACGCCCTTATACGGCCAAAATCGTGAACAGATAAAGTTATCACAATATCCGGCTAAAATAGCCACAGGGACCGGATTAAAGCAGGTTTTCTGCAGAAATTACACTATCCGGTCAGTCCCCCGGATAATCGTGCCTTTGTCCGTATATGAAAACATGAGGCGGGCCATATGGTATTAATCCCGTCTGCCCGAGACTCGAGGCGCATGGTGTAGGTGGGGGTGGGGTGGGTGGGTGGTGTTGGGATGGTGGGAGGGGTGCGTCAGGAGGGACTACCTGGGTACAGGAATTACCATTAATTTTAGAACAATTAATCATAGCCAAAAACAAATCAAATAACTACTAGTAATTATGTAATAACAAATAAATAAGTTTCCTAAAAGCATTGTGCACAGGCTGAAGTTTCCTTCAAAAATATTGTGAATTTTTTTCCTCCTGGCGGCCTACGTAACGCTATGGCTGCCCCAAGTGGACCTGTCCAACACTGGTCAACCCATGTGCGTCCGTCCCTCGTGTTATACACAGTGCTGCGCCATTAGTGAAATATTTTTTTAAATAACTTTTTTATTTTCATAGTAACTTTGAACATTTTTGGCCAAGACTATGTCTGGTAGCAGCATCAATCGTTCTGGAGGTGTTAAGAGGGAGAAAGTTGTCCTAACAATAAAAGACAAGTCACAGTTATACACCTCAACCAGTGCGGCCTCACAGTGTTGCGCCGT